AGCAGGTCTCTTTTTATTGTTTTTTAATTGGAGTCAGATTCAGAAGAGGCTACCGGAGCTTGCAGGGTCAACTCCTCTTGTTCCATCCTTTGTTTTTTGGCAGCTGGCTTCTTGAAAAACATGTCCAAGGTGGTCTGTTTCTCTCTCTTCTTCAACACCTGTCGGAAATGACAGGCAAGGGTGTCATTGTAGAGATCATTGATCCTGTTGGCCTCGGCTCTGTTTGGATAATGAGTGTTGGTAAACTCCCGAACCTCTCTCCATTTGACAAGGAAGTTTATGTCAACTTTCACTCTTTCTGATGATGTCTTGCTTTGTTTCAATTGAAATCACCTTTCTGTTTTTTAGGAACCATGATTTGCACAACCCTTGAATAAATGTAAATACCCTGCAGTGAGGTGATGTACATAATAAACAAGGGAGCAAGCCGGACCCAACGGGAGCCCTGTACTTCAGATATACTAATAATATATTTTAATAATACTAATATATTATAAAAATAGCAGATTTTCATTGGCAATGGCAAAAAAGTGGAAACATCATTTGCACTTGTTCACAGAAAGTCCGTTGTTCGCAGCCAGTCTGATGCTCAAGTCACATAACGGCCAAACAGAAAGTCCGTTGTTTTGCAGCGTCCATTATCCGAGGTGTATGTTATACAAGGCACCACTGTGTTATATTATTATTATTATTATTATTATATAGTAATTATAGTATTATCAAATGATTTTAATAAAATTTTGATTTATAATGAACTTTATTTAAACAATTGCAATAATAAAAAAATAAATAAAATTGTTTATATTAATTACAAGTTTAAAATCTTATTTTGTTATTACAAAATTTCCTGCGTCTGAAAAATTTTTGGTGGACCAGCAGGAAATTTCCGCAGACTCGGGGTCGAAGAACAGTGCTTTAGTCCATTTTTAACAAAAAATAACTTTTTCATGGAAAGAGGTTGTTAGCCCCTCACCCAGCTCCCAACCTGGAGGACCAAGTACTCCCTTAGTCCAACTCTCACCTAAGACTTTTCTAACATTGGTATCCCTACCATCAGCTAAGCCTTTATGATCATCAACAAATTCACCTTATTCTGATGGTGGGGTTTGCAGATGCCAGAGTGGAGATGAATGTATATATATTATGAATACACTGTATTGGGAAGAAGTGGAGAAAGCTCGTGGAATGAGTGAGTGAAGCAAGCAGGGAGTTGGACCACCTACTGTATGTCAACAACAATAGCAATTTTATTCTGATTATAGAGTACATTTCACTACAGTGCATTAGTTTTTACTTCAGTTGCTGTAAAGAATGTAGTGTTTAGATATGCTACATAGAATATGCATGATACACCACTATAAAAAGAATAGAAAACAATTTGAAATTAATCTTGTGTCATATAAACAAAACAGTATAGGTCATTTACTAACTGGGGTGCTTGGATCAAGTCTATGAAGGGAAACAGGCTTGCTGACAGTTGAAAACCTATAAAATGGATAATCCCATTCAAAAGGAAAGAGCAGATAAGTTCTTGTCATCTTCCTAGGAATCAAATATGCAAATTAACAATATAGGGTGATGCACGTAATAGATAAGATGGGTGTCTAGATGTAACTAAGAATGGTGGTGACTTGATAGTACTTGTTTAAGAGGTTGAAGAAAGCACCCTAGTTTTTGCTGGAGATTAGCTCACTACAGTTGTATGGCCTTGCACCACATTGTACTCCAGTGTTGGGCAATAAAAGATGTAATGAATGCTGCTGTCAGGTTCACCACATACTGGACAGAAGTCTGTGTAATGTATATTAAAACATTTAAGGTAGATATAGAGCCTGATATGACTGATAAGGTACTGTGTGATGAGATGGTTCATATCATTCAATGGTTGTTGAGATAATCCTTGATGTCTGGGATAAACTGATATGTTATCTAATTAAAATGCCTCAATGTCCTTTTTTTTCTTATTAATATGTAAATTTTTGACTATAAATTCATATCTTCTATTATCAGAACTTGGCTTTACAGATAATATTACAAAGATTAACAGAAAACAATTTTTAATCTTTGTAATATTATCTGTAAAGCCAGTATAATAAGTCCTGATAATAGAAGATACAAATTTATAGTCGAAAATTTACATATTGATATATTTATTTGATTATGGTTGATGTTCCACTTGTCTTGCCAATTTTGAGTGAGCTCTTCACATAGAACACTCTTCTTAAAGTATGCCAGCTGCAAACTGAAGTCTTCAGCAGCCGACCTGGCCCTTTCATTCCCTGTCATGCCTACATGCAGCTTCATCCATTGAAAGTGAATAGTGTTAGGCAAGTTAGTGAGGGCCTCTGGTATATCACTCACAAGAGGATGCAGGGTTGAGTTAGTAATTATTTTTAGTGCTCAGGCACTGTCCAAGAAGATGGTTAGATATATATTGCTGAAAGTTTTGCTGCTCCAAAATATTGCTTTTAGGATAACCAATAGCTCTGAACACAAAGTAATCTCAGTGCATGGTATCAATGAATCTACTGGCCATTATGAATTTTGATGTTTTATTTGTATGCCACAAAGGCACTTCTCACTTGCTCCTCATATTTCAAGCTGTTTGTGAATATTTTTACCTTTGTTTCCTCCAAAGGATTGAACTTGATGTGTGACTTTTTACTTAGAACTTTCAAACATTCCATTAATCATTTAGCCAGGGACTTTCAATGTCCCTAGCCAATAAAGGCCATGCCTGATGAGGATATTATTGGCACTTACTGAGGGGATAATGAATCTGGAGTATAATGGCTGTAATTATCCCTGAAAGTTATGGCCATTATACTCCAGATGATGTTTATGAGTGTACAATTTAACATACAAGCATACAAGCTCAGTTAAGTTTTTATACTTTTTTTATATTTTGGTGTTTTTTAAAATGCCTTTAATATTTCATTAGAAAAAGGTTGTGTAAAGGTAAATTTTTTAATTTTATCTGTTTTAGCTTGTTTTACAAGTATACCCTTTTTTATTATTTTTTATCTCTTAATAGTCCAGTTGTCATCAATATATCATTGCAGGTAATTTATTGTTTCAGTTTACCAAATATGTATAGGAGCAATAGGGGTAAATAGCACAAAATGCATTTCCTCTTTAAATCATAGTCTGTATAATCAATCTCATGATGTTCCTGTACGATAAGTTCTCTACAAAAATTGTGCTTACTACCATCCAGAGTAAATATATTTTTAAAAAAAATAGTTTTTATTTAACATCAGTACATGTTATACAAATTGTATGGTATCAATGAATCTAGTGGTTAGGTTAGGTTAGGTTGATCAATATTTGGTCAAGCAATTTATTAAAAATTAGAATGTTACTTTAATATACTTTGATTTAATCTAGTCTGGTTCGTGCATTTTGTCAAATTTGATTCTGTGATGTCATTTTCATGCCGATTGGTATGTGACAACAATTTACTTTTGTTGTCAACTGCACATTTCATCTAATCCCATCACCAGACAAGCATCTGGTGATGGCACTAGTTCTGCCTAATCTAGATCATTCCTTATGTCATTAAAATTTACTTTACATGCACAACTTTTTTCTTTTGGGACATTTTTGTTAAACTTTGTTCTAATGTTTGAATATCAAAAGTAAGGAAAGTGGAGAGTAGGTTGTGTAATTTGACACAGCTATATACATAGTATTAATAAACTAAATTTTATCTTATTGTTTGTCATCTTTAACTTAAACTTTATACTGTGCTTTTGATATTCTAGATCTCGCAGTCGATCGTACTCTTCACGTTCGAGATCCCATTCTAGATCCCATTCTAGGAGTCCATCCATTCCCAGGCGTAGAGGATCGCCCAGTTTCCTAGATAAACGGCGCATCACCAGGTATAATTTACAACAAATGTGCAAGTTTATTATATTTGTTTTGCTATTATAAAATTGTATTTATTAATATTTTCTCTGTTAACGAAAACCTCCAACAGGTCACATAGCAGAGGCAGATATAGGCATCATTCCCGTTCATATTCCAGATCACCATATAGATCTCACAGGAAAAGATACAGTAGTAGTCGCAGTTACAGTAGTAGTTACTCACACGATTATAACAAGCCACGATATCGCCGATATTGAATTATAAAAAAAGTATCATTCTTCCCATTACATTAGTTTTTATCATTCTGAATTGGAACAGGCTGAATGACAATGGAATTTTTTTGTTTCATAAAATTTACAATTGAAAAAACTTTAATTTTTGTTTATTTATTTTTGATATTTTATGCAATTTTTATTTCCTAATTCATTGACATTCAGCACACAATCATTAAATACCCTTAATGAAAAATTCTTTGACACAGTGAAAATTAAACATTTTACGTAATAAGTCAATTTTTTTTATATATTCTTTCTGTGTATTTAATTTTTTTGTAAAAATTCATTAAAAGAAATGAATTTTTCTTTTTATTTTAAGTATTTTCTTTTCAGTTTCTTCTTCTTGAGTTGATCATCTTCCTGTATCACCGACAAAACAGGTAGAGTTTATGTTTGTTTATTTGCCAGTTTGAATATATTTTTGTTTTGTTACTTATTTTAATTTCTTAACAAATTAAAAATATTTAAAAATGCATCAATAATTACTTTTTACAAAATTATTTTTGCCACATACTCTTCATTAATTAACTACTAACATCCATTAGAATATTGAGCTTAATTACATTACTAACCATCGTATTTGTATCTTGAATAACACAAATATTAATCCGTACCATTGATGTTTCTAATAAATTGGTAATGAAAGTTTTGGCGTATTAATCATACTAATAAATCAAACTTGACCAAACTAAAACTAGTTTCAGTTTTTCATCAAAAATTCACATTACTCTTTACAACATTTAGAAAAGACTGTTGAAAACAATACTTACCAAAGAAAGTTGGATTATCTGTAAACTGTTTTTAAGACTTGAGAATGTGTAATGTGGATTTTTGTAAATAACATGTAGTGTAAACTAGATAAATGAAGGTTGTTATATTATATTAAAGGTAATTTAGAATCAGAAAATAATTTTTGAACATATGTAATGAAAAAAAGAATAATCTAATTTTTTCTTCTGGAGCCACTTAAATATCTTTGGCAGCATCAACAAATTCTTTTTATGCCTAAAACAAATATTCCTTTATCTTTGATAAGTACAACACATTTTTCAAATATCATTTTAGTTTTTGATTAGAGCATTTTCCAGAAAAAGAATCTTGGTTTCTTCTTTTGCCACATTTTGAGGGGGAAAGTATTTTAAAAATGGCAAATAATGAAACTTTCAAAACATTTAGTATTCTGACCATAGAATTCTTGGTGCAGTTGATGTGATAAAGCATCCTCTACTCACATTGGGTAAAGAATTTAAACATTTAACAAAATTGGGAATGCTTTTTATTTTGGTAACCATTTCCATTAAGCATCTTACTAGTTTATGTCAATTTGTAAAGTTATCCAACTGTTTTATCATATTAATTGTACTGTAAAACTAACACAAAATCCTTTTACTTTATGTTTTATTATAAACCAGGCTGCTTAGTCTGCACCGCTGCACATACCAAAATAACACAAGCATTGTAAAGTACTATTTTATTTTTCCGACTTTTCCAACGATTATCGACAAGACTGTGTGCTGGAAATAGCCGTTCCCTAACGGGTACTTTACGCGGATTCGCGTTAGTGTGCCAGGCCTGGACTTTTAGCATGCACCAAAATTAAATAATGACCAAGTTTGTCAATAACAAATCAAATATTTAATTAATTTCTAGTAATAAACTATATACAAAATTTAGTAAAAATCAACAACTACTTATTCAAATGAAAATCAATAAGAATCAACCCGACAAAACTCAAATCAATCTAGTTTCTAACTTAAATCTATTCCCCTTTGGAATTCGACAAAATTCAAAGACTTTAATTCATAAGAATTATTGTATATAAGATCCTAATCATCACCTCAATATACTAGGAACCTATTTCCTCAACTCTCAAGACTTTCTCTATTCGTCGATCCACAAATCGAATAACTTCAAAATCGCCTTGGAACTATTTGATCCTATCGGCCACCTCTCTCGTTCACTGCTACTAAGCTCACCAAGCTCGTTGCTGTCTGGAGTTCACCTCATCCGTCTTCACTTGATGTTCAGTTTTTATACTGTGAGGTGACGTCACAATTCTGAATGAGATCACTCACCTCATTTACATACTTATTCGCTAACAATAAACTTTTCTATTTGTCTGGCAGCCTATTTTCCGACAATACTCGCTAACCTTTTACATTATTCTTTTTGATAATTTGCGGGATGTTTTATTCTTTTAAGGTTTAGCGAATTTAAGTTGTGTGTGTGGGGTCCACTCCCCCCTTTTCTCGGTGCGGACTTACTTTTTTCCGCTCGGGAACGCAAGTGTGCATGAGTTTTTTCCTACGGCGCTTTTCTTTCGGTGAGTTGGTTTCTCTTCTGTTTTTAAGTTTCTAAGGTGAATGGTGAGGAAACCTTCGTTCTAACAAAACATAAGCCCCAAACAAAAATATAATAAAAAGCAAAAATAAAAGTAAATAAAAATAATGCTCGGACTTGGTTCCTTACAGCATCTACTATGCAGTGTAGACTAGCACAGCATAGTGGCAGACATAATTAACAGTAAAACAGAGCTAAACATGTTCAGATCTGTTTTGTTATATATAACAGTTGGGAAAGTAACAACAGAGGGAAATTATGGCCTTTCCCCAAGATTTTTACATTTCTCAATGTATGAATGTTAGTGTGTGTGGGGTGGGGCTTGAATATGATGAAGCTGTTATTTTGAAGATTAATAACTCCTATGCTTGTTGTTGAAATTTTGTAGGTTTGTGTATTAGGGGATTGATGCTATTAAATTTTGGTGGTTAATGGTGAGGGGAGTGGCGAGATAACAGTAGTCATGTGTAACTCCAGTAGGGTCGGACTTAAAGACAATTTTGCTTGTTGTTATTAGCATTTACAATTTTTTATAAAACCCATCACTATCCTCAAAAAAGTTAAATAATAGATCACTAAAATATCTGATATTATTTTAATTCCTACCATGTCACTTAATAAATTGTATTTTTATGTGAATATAAGAATTATAATGTTTTCAAATAGTAGTCTGGAAAGATTCTAAACTACCTTAATATAATTGCTGGTCACCTAAGCTTTTGGAAAGATTGCTGTGTTTACTTTGACTATGATTCTTAATTTTACATTATGATGATATCATTTGAAGGACAAGTTCCTTTCTGGCTGAGAATATTAAATGTACTTATGAGCCAAAAGATTAAGAGGAACTTTTTTTATTTTGGTCGTGGCTCATAATTACATCTAAAAAATAACTAACTACAAGGTGAGTGTTTTACAAATTTTAAAATAGGGGGATATATCTAAGAATTGATTATGAAAAATTGAAAAGAATAAATCAAAGAAGATTTATTATTTGATAACTATGGCATTTCTCCGTCTAAAATCTAGTATTCTGTATAAAGAAAAATTATTATTAGCAATTTTGTGCTTACTTCTAAAGAATAAAAGAAAGAACAAGAAGCGATCAAGTACAGTCGACTCCCCTATAACATGGGTTCCTATAATGAAAATTCCTATAACGTAGCGAAAAAATTGTGGTAGTATTCATATAAAGGGACTCATAAAACGTTGTCGCCAACTCATGTCGCGACAAGATTGGTCGAATCTGGACCAATAGTGGATGAGCAGCCAAACTACTTTCCACCGTCCAGCACCACGCTACGGAGAGTTTAGGCGAGTAAGTTGAGTTTATTATCGTCTGTACCGTAAGTCTAATACAGCACTAATTTTATACATTTCTTATTCAACGGCCATAAAAATTATTTATATTAATGATGTCTCCAAAGTTCAACGAAGTTTTTGCAGAAAAATAACTTATCAGAAAATGCAGCCGCCATTTGGTGCGCTGCTCCATGACGAAAACAAGCGTAAGTAATCCTACAATTTTTGTTTATAGCATAGTTTATATGGATTATTCCCAAAAAATTATACATGTTTTGGAAATGTTGAGTCGAATTAGTCTAGAATCGGTTAATTTTATAGAAGAAAATTTTTCAAACAGCCTTAGTCCATAAACTTCACACGTGTAGGGCTGTGATTGGCTCATATATTTAAGGATTCCTACAACGTAAAATTCTTATAAAGTGGAACATATCTAAGCGTTATAGGGGGGTCTACTGTATTAAATTTGAATTGATATAATAGCACAATAATAATAAGTGGTGAGGCAGTGGAGAGGAACTTTTTGTCCTTAGCCTATTTACTTAAGAATGGTAAATTATTGTAATGACCTTTGTTTCTTTTGTATGTCGGCAGTGCACGCAAACGACCCGTTCCGTACAGACGACCTTCGCCAGTGACACCGAGCAGTCTGAGTTCTTGGTCCTACCGTTCTTGGTCGACTTCAAGATCACCATCATCCAGTCGATCACACTCGTTACGTCGCAGTTACACTCGTTCGCAGTCGTGGAGCTCTCCCGAGAGGGACTGAAAACACAAGAATCCTTCTGATCATAAATAGTCACACGTTGTTTTTAAAAAGTGAGTGTTTACTACGGTCGTTAATTACGATTTCCTCCTTTCCGAAAGCCATTATTTTTGGAATCGTAAAATAAAGTTGTTATTGAGAAATTCTAAATGCTAATAATCTAATGTATTGTAATCATTGTACGGTCGTTTTCACTCTCTTGGCAAGATTTTTTTTAAATTCCTTACTTCTATTTAAAAGGATGGATGAACTTCTGGCACTTTTAAATTATTACTTGTGTAGACACGAAATAGAGAAGTGAACGAACATTTATAAAAATTATAGTTTTTATTAAAAATTCTGTAATTCACCTACAAGAGCTCAAGAGCAGGTAAAGCAATAACCATTTTTTTATTTAGTTTAACGTAAATCATTATTCGCGTATAGTTTATCTGACTTTTATGGTAATAGCAAATGTAGGAATTTGCCCAACCAGAAAATTTCAAAAAGTATAAACCTCTATAAAATTTGACTGCCATCACCATAGCTGATTTAAATTATCACTTTCGTTGGTACAGAATTTTATAATACCATGACATTCTTTTAGATTCATGGATGAAACTGTAATGGTAAACGGTCTGTAAATGTTTTATTTTAAAAACGGTAATTGAAAACGGTTAAAAAAAAAAACTTTTTTTGTTTTATTTAACAAATTATTTAATTGTAGTTAACACTGGCTTTATCTGAGAAAATTGCTGTTGTCTGTACCATTTATTATCAATATTAAAAGAACGAATGTATCTCCCTTGTAGTTGTTTCTTTCTTCCCTTTTTACCCACTTGCCAACTTTTGGTAAAAAAAAAAAACGGTGTTATCAAGTATGCAAGTTTTCGGTTTTCAGCTAAGGAAGCAATAGTTACAGGTGACTCTCAAATTGATAATTTTAAATGAAAGATAAACTGATCTGTTTTGTGATTATTGCAAGATCTAGGTTTGGTATATTTATACTAGCTATTTAACTTCCATTGCATCTATATCTTTTCTTTGTAAAGATCTATGCTTGTTCTCATATTTTAAGATAAAAGGAAATTAATTTAATTGGAATTTAACAGACTATTTGTAATTAAAAGACCCTATTCATCTCTATATAGAATAGGGGTTCCCAATTTGTGTTTTGCAGAACCCTAGGGTGCCGCCAATAAAAATTTGGGTTTCACAATAAAATCTGTTGAGTCTAATGATGTATGAATGTACCAATACTGATTTGGGACGCAAGGCGCAATTGTTCAAATCTCGGATTGAGTCCTCATATTGTCATGCGAGGACTCGATCCAAAACTATACATGTACTAAAGTTTTGTTAGAACATGTGTTCTTGTGATGTGATTAAATATGCCCAGAGGAGCTTGTCATACGAAATTTCCATCATTCGAATATGTTTGAATTTCATATTCATATTCGTTTTAGAGCAGTGGTTCTTAACCTTTTAGTGATGAGGGACCATTTATCAAAATTTTTGTCTTGCCATGGATCACGAGCTGTTTGGCAGTAATATAGGTTCTTATAAGGTTGTTCTATAAATTAAACACAGAAAATTATTCGGAACCAAGAGTATTATAATATTTGCAAAAGTGTTACATTAATTATATTATTTTAGTGCGATTTTTGTGACTTCGTACTGTTTACCAACTGCTGAATTCTTGGTTCAGTGCTACTCAAAGCAAACGCATGTCAGCACTGGCATCCAACCGATTTCAATGTTTATTTTTAATTATCAAAAGCACTGAGAATCCTTGCTCGCATAAATATGTGGTTGAAAATAAAGTTAGGTACTGTAAAGCAATTTCTCGAATTTTAGGGAAAGCAATAGCTTTTTGGTTCCAAAAATCTTTAAGGTTAATTCCTGTCTCGAATGTATCCTTGCAGTTACTATCATGTTGCATTTCAATTAACTCTTCTTGTATTTCATCCAGCACCTCAGAAATGTTGACTATGAAAGGATTGCAAATCAGTTTCCGAATACTTTTGTCCTTGCAGTCAGGAAATAGTGATTAAATTCATTTTTCAAGCTTTGCAAATGGAATGTAATGTTCTTTTGTATTTGTCATTTAATCTCGGTACACTGTCAATCAATAATTGGGTTCAATGTATCAAACGCAGAAAAATTCTCTCTTTCGACTTTGCTGATCCACAGGTCGACTTTAGCGATAAATGCACTGATTTTATCTTCAAATGCAAATTTATTGCTAGTGCCTTCCAATTTCATATTTCCTGACCACAGGCCAGTTCGCTATCGACTCTAACCTTGACATACTGCGCATTGTCATCAACTCGTCATCATTTATTTAATAATTTTGGGATAACTTCACGGACCACTTCAGGTGCTTTCAGGGACCACCAGTGGTCCATGGACCACAGGTTAAGAACCACAGTTTTAGAGGATCTGGTTAGTTTAGAATTAAAAGATGCCTGAAGAACCCTGAAGGGGATTAAGTGTCCTAAACTGACTCTAAAAGTCATCTAAAGAATAGGAAAGTACTATATTGTAAGCATAATTATTCATCTTATGTCTCTACTTTGTTCACATTTTCAAAAGAGGAATGCTCAATTCTCTCTTTCACCCCCCCCAGTTCTTTGAGTAAAATGCTACTTTTGACTGTAACTGGAATTAAAGAACAGATTACAGCATCCATGTTTACCACAAGTGGAAAGAATGCAGTTATAGCTGCTCGTGACACCATTTTCACTGCACTCTTGCTATATAAAGAAACATAGCCTTTATTGAGTGAGGACCAATTTATTGGTAACAGAATACAAATAAAACGAACTGAAGTCGTAATATAATGTTTGACAAGGTAATGGAAACCATAAAAACAGTAAAACATGAACTAAAGCTAGAAAATCTTTCAAAAAATCAAAAGCAAAATGTTATGTCAGCACTGCACACAAATAACATAAATTTGAAAATATATTTGATTTATTATAATTATTAAATTTAATAAGATATGGTGCCTAATGCCTACCTTTAGTACAAAGTTACTTATAATTTAATTATTAATAGTAGCCAAAAAATGGCAAGATTCATTACGGCAATCATTTGGTTTTGAGTATCGCAGCTCTTGTACTGGATGTCCAGCTACACAATTTATTAGTAGGGAGAACTTGGACTGATCAGCCCAAATTGGAAACAATATGTATATTGCAAATGAGGATATTTTCACCCAATTAAAAAGTAGCATAGATTTGTGGTGAATTGAAGATAATACTGTTAAATTTAACAGTATTATCAATTCAGTTAAGGCAAAAACCAGAAAGATTAATAATAGATTAGTTCTAATAAAAGTTGATGGATGAAACCTGACTACCTTATTTGATATAAAGAATGGAGAAACTCTTATACCAATTATAAATGTTCAGGATCATAATATAAAGGTGACGCAAAACAAGTAGGTGGCTGAGGTAGAAAATACGAGAGAAGACTGTTTAAATCTGAATGTTAATTATAGAAAGGAAACCAAAGGAGATGACTTAGTATTAGTACAGAATTGAAAAAGAAAAGATTTGTTGAGTTGACACCTGATGAGAGGAAGGCTTGATATTTTAAAATTACTGAATGACTGTATAAATTGTTCTGCTCTTAATTTAAGTGAACTTTATTGTGCAAAATTAACTAAGATGGATATTAAGGAAATTAGAGGTAAACCCATTTGTTTACGGCCATACAAGGCAAGTGCATTAGGTCAAACTGCAATAAAAGAAATAGTTGAGGAATGGAAATATAAGGGGATAGTTACTCAAACAAGACCACCTTATGTGAGTCCAGTTCAATTGGTAAAGAAGAAGAAAAAGAAGAATGGAGAGAATAGCTTAGTTGTAGATTACCAGAGACTGGAGGATAAATTTTCCTTGCTGCATGTCGACCTATTAGAATATGTCAGTGATTGTAAACTGTTTATGATTCTAGATTTAACATATCTCTTGTCGAGGAAACTAAAATCAGGCAACTTTCATAACCCTAGATGATACAGACTAGTTTGAAGCATTCTTTTTGGTTTGGTTGATGCACTGTCTGAATTGCAATGTTTTATGAGTATATAAATTTTTCCAATGTTTAATATATCACGTTTTGGAGCCCTTACTTAACACTAAAGTCTTATGTTCTTTAGATGATGTACTAATGCAAGAAATTTGGATGAGATGAAAGATGAAAGGAAGTTTTCTAGTAGTTGAGATCAACATAACTCATCCTAAAGTTATGGAAGTTTCAGATTAAAAACTTTAACTTGATTTACAAAAAACAAAAAATGTGCATGGGTGGAAAGCAGAGGAAGGCATTTGAATTGTTGAAAAGTAATCTAATTAAATAAACAATACTGCCTCACCATCACTCCAATGCAAGGACTAAAGTCCATTGTAATGCTGGCTTAATTGGAATTGTTAGTATGCTACTCCAACTAGAGGAAAATAATAAATGGCATTTGGTATATTGCATGTGGAGAAAGGAAACACTGTATTACCCAAGTAACTAAAGCTAATAGCTATAGTATGAACATTGGATAAATTACATTTTTATTTGGAATAAACTTCATAATTGTTAATTGTCAGGTCCTGGTATAAATGATTGTCAAGAAGTTGATAAATCCCCAGATAGCACAATAGTATAATTTAATTCAAGAATATGAGTTTGATATGTAATATACAGGCCAAGTGAAAGGATGGCACATGTAAATGCAATGAATACGGCAACAGTATTAGAAATCTAGAAGTCTGTGTGACACTAACAGAAGAGCAGAACAATGATTCAACATTCTGATCCTAAATTATGTAAATTAATAAGCATCTTTCAGAAAAATCAAAGTGACAGAACTTAAAATAAATGACAGGAAATTATATTTTCAAAAAAATCAGCTATTCTGCAAAGTAAAAGAAAGTGATGAAAGATATCCTTACATAATCCCCAGAAGTATGAGGAAAGTGTCATGGTTAAATTTCATGATTTGATGGGTCACTTCACTGTTGACTGAACAGTAGGAAAAATTAGGAAACTGAAATGGTTTCCATCCATTAAACATTATGTACGCTATGTACTGTACATTACATATCAATGTGCTTAGTATTGGCAATTGCTTAGTAATTAGCTTGTTTACCAAGCAGTATGCTCGGTAAACAAAACATTCCATAAAGTCTGCCTGGAAAGAGTTCACTTACCAATTATTCATTTAGATCACTTGGGATCATTTGCAAAAAGTTCTAGCAAGTGAATCACCAGGTATTTGCTATCATAGACAACTTGACAAGATTTGTTTGTCTAACAGCAGTGGACAAACATCTCTGCCTTCAATATCCAAAAGATTTTGGGTTACCAGAAAGGATAATAAGTGATCATGGAGCCTTGTTTCACATCATGTCAACTCGAATATAGCACCGAAAACAGTAAAAAGCATACCCTAATTTCACTAAACATCCTCAAGCTAATTGAATGGTAGAGAATCAACAGAACAATACTATCTGCAATTGCAATTAGTAGGAGACACACAACATGCAGATAAGAACCTGAAGATTAGGAAAGTCTTGAGGAATCTGAACAATATGGTTAATAAATAGAACACAATTTGAGATTAAACCTTGGTGAATACCCATGCAACAAGATGGTAATGTATTGACTGAGCCTACAAAGATTCAAGACAAAGCAGGGAAAAGGATTGAAATGTCACAGGAAAATACTACAATACAAAATGTGGAATTATTGAGTTTGAACAGAAAGAGATTATGGTAATGAAGCTCATTAGCTCATTCAAACAAATAGGTTGTATTTTAGTAGGTTGTCCTAAGTACTGAGACTTGCTGATCATCACAGAAGTGCTGTCAAACAGGATCTACTAAGTAACACAATTAGCAACAAAGGAACAAGACCATTTCTACACCACCAAGGCAGTTATGTTATTCAATTGAAAGCTTGGAAATATAAAGCAGAATCAAGTGATGACAACAGCCAAATAGGAAATAGTGACAATTTAATTTCAAACCAAAGACGAAAACCTGGAAGGAGTAGTGATGCTTCAAGAGAACAGTAGAAAATTTTGAACTTCTTAAATCTCACAACTTAACTACCATAATTTTAAACTAAAAATATAATTTCCTTCTGACTTTACTCGGGACTGGTTTTTTAAGGAATAGTCAAATACCGATAAGGGATTTATGCAAAAATGATTAACTTTATCATGCTCTTCTAAACACACATCATGTATGATAAGTCCATTTGCCAAGTTGTGAGATTAAAAGTACAATTGAATAGGACAAGAACCTTTGAACTAATGCTCAAATACAAGAGCTTTTGGATTTAACTTATTGATAAATTTTTGTTTGCCTTAAGAATAGATTGAGTTTGAAATGTATATTTATAAATTTGAATTGCTGTATAAATGAAATGTCAGTTGGGATGGCGTGACTTTTGACTTCAAATGCCATTTTGTTTTGGTTGTGTATCCAAAAATAAACAAAAAGGAAAAGTCGACCCGGACGGCCAGCAGTCAAAATTTTTTGTTGGAACTCGAAGCGTGTGCGATTTTCTGTAGCATCCCAATACATCAGAAGACAGATAAAGCTAACACATCCAATATATGGACGTACTTCCTCTTGAATTAAAACTAAACATCATAGGCACAGTCTTCCAGTAAATAACACGTATTGGAATCAATTAAACACTGATTGTTTTTGGCCTCTACTGTAATGATTGGCCTGCAAGTGCCTATCATTACAGAGATTCTAAATTTAGATTAGTGTTTAGTTTCAATTTGATACCTTCCAGCTTTTGGGGACACTTAAGTTACTCGCTCTTGCACGAAATTGGTCGACTCAACGTATCGTTGCTGTTGCAGTTGACAAAAAGTTCACAAAAGACCGAACAAAAAATACACAACGAGCCAAGTAGAATTTCAAACCCAAGTTTTTTGTAGCGAGATGCACAATTCTCCATATTGCGTATAGGTACTGCATTGAAACTCACTAGGACTAATGCCTTTGGCTATCAAAAATTGAACAACAGCTCGCCGTTCAATTGGACTGCAGTTTGTACACCACTTTGCGAGGACGGCTATTTGTACACGGCTGTACTTTATACCCTTTCAATATTATTAGTCTTCACCTCATATACTACATTGTTTTTCTTTAACAGCATTGTTAACCTTATTGAATCTGCCTCACATAATATATTTTTTAACGAAGTTTAAATGTATCAGATATTTTCATCTATATTTAACATTGCGTTTAGCCCATTTAATTAAAATTAATTTTATTAAATTTCACGAAACTATAATTGTAAGTAGTAGTAATAATTTTCATACAACGGACATATTATACAGCCTAATTTATATTTGTTTAGATTTATACATGCATATTAAAATGAAATTGTAGACTAACATTTCTCGTATACTCTATCAATTCTTTTACGATTTGATATTATCGTTTCTTCGCCGTTTTCACAATTGATTTAATTCAAAGTACAAATTAAAATACTAATGTTACAGTGTTTAACTTCCGTTTTTATTCTTATACTTTCTTCCTCATTAAAACTAACAAAATATAATTTTGTGAAGCCCGAGCGATACTCGAGCTCACTTGTTAAAAATATCATAAAGGTGTCAAATCAAGGGATCGGGCTTTGATTCTAACGCTCGTAAAAATTGGAAGAAAAACCTAAATAAAATCATTAATCGAGAGAAAAAAGTTTTTAAATAACCTTAAAAGGAGATGCAGAGCTCATGTTGTGTGTCAGACTTATAAGAATTCGAAACAATTAAATACGAGCAGGAGTTTCAAGGTGCGATTAATTTCCCTCGATCGGATTTAAACACTGTCGAATTAAACCTTTGGTAGCCCAAAATGGTCTGTCATCTGCTTTGATCAGTGTTTCTCAACAGGGGCGATATCGCCCCATGTGGGCGTTTTTCCATGTTCAGGGGGCGATTAGTAACAATTTATATTTGGGGGAGCGAAAAACAATGTTTATGGGCGATATAGTAAAACATTATAGTAAGAATAATTAGATATTTTATTCGTCATATCGTACAATAATTAAGCAAATAACATTATATTAGTCACTAGTCTATTCGATGCGGTACGAATTTGGCTTTAGCCTCGGCATCGGAATTTTGAAGCGAAGGGGGCGATAATACGTAACGGTTTTATTGAAGGGGGCGACGATTCGTTAGAGGTTGAGAAACACTGGCTTAGATACAGGAGATCCGGGGAAGAGAATCTTTTAAGATGGCCACACACGTTAAGGAAATCCTTCGAGGAGTAACTGCGCAGGCCTGGCCTGGAGGAAATTCATCCGATGACGACGTACTGGCTGTTCTCGGATGTATTAAAATGGTGTAAATAGTAGTAGTGGCATCGATCACAAAATCTTGGGCTATAGATTCTGTTAAAAAGCGAAAGATCAACGGCCAGTCGATTTTACTACCAAAAAAATTCACGGATTAAATTTTATAGACGAAAAACCATGGGATATAACTGGCTGGATCGAACACAGTCATTTACAAAGCTTTAAAGGTGGATAGATAGAAGGAAAAACTGGAGCTTCTTGGGTGTCCAAGATCGGATATTATTAAAAAGAATTGTTATTGCCACAAATATTTTAAAAAGCGATATTCTATCTTACGAACAATTCTTAATTAAACAAAAAACAGATACAGTATTTTCAAAATCAGTACATTGTAGGTAGGTATTTAATAAATAATTATTATATTTTACTTTGTCTCGTTGTTAAAACGTTATTTCAAAAATAAATTCTCAAACACATCCGAGTAGTTTTGTAAATATTAAAATTATTTATAATTTTAATTTACTCGAGAAAATTTTTACCTGAAAAATTAATTTTTTACATTATAAATAATAAAAGTTAATAAGGTTATAGAAAGTAATTCTTCCAAACATTCACCAGACATTGTTCTCACAACTGAACGATATTACGGCACACCTTAAGGTCGGCCTGTGCAGGAAAATCAAATGGTTTTTCGATTCTACTCCGGTGGAAGACTTAGTATAAATAAACGGGTTTCTTTGTCACTGCAGCTGTTTGCCTCTCACTTTCCTTCACCCCACATACGATAGGTCGTGGCATTTGGATATCACCAATTCGGCAACCTTCACAATTTTAAACATTACAATGTATTAAAATGTATAAATTTTAAAAAGATAAAAATTTACAACTACAGGAAATCCTCCTTAGTTCAAAATTTAAGAGACGAAACAATCACGACTTGGAATTATCCGGATTTATCTATTTCTGTACAATATGCCAAATGCCACGTAATTGATGTAATTTATTAAGAAAACGGAATACGACTACTTTACAGAACGTTATTTTCGTCAGTTATTAGTTTATAATAATAAACTGCAGGTAAGTAAAGCAAAATTACTCGAAATGTAGCCCAAATTATTTTTAAAGTGACCCAAAAAGTAGTAGCCTAGTCCTACAAATCTCTCAATCTTGCCATCCCAATTAATCCCAGCCGTATTTTACGAAATGCATATGGACTATGTACTGTATTGCAAGAGATGTTTCTCAACAGTTTATGCTATCGATTTAAGTCATTGAGCTTTGAAATTGACACTTAATTCGAGATGGAATAACAGTTGAGGTGTACTCCGTCTATTGACTAAATTTAACTTAAAATCAATCAAGTTGTTTTTTGCACATATAACGCATCAAAATAAATTACTGTATATGCAATTGTTAAAAATATTTATGATTTAATTGTTGACAATTAAATCATAAATACTTTGGTTCGAGGTTGTGTACATTTTATCGTAATTCTAATACAGGTATGCCTCGAGTTACGTCGTTTGTCAAAATATATATATATATATATATATATATGTTACCGGCCAAACCCGATTTCAGGCCAAACTAGTTTATCCTAGGCCAAACTAGTTTGTCCTACGCGTGTCAGGATAAACTAGTTTGGCCTAAATACTTTAGGCTAAACTAGTTTGTCCTAGGCCGAACTGATTTAAAATTATTATTCAAGTATATTAATGGTTAAAATAAAATTAAAAGGAAATCAATTAGATGAACAATATTTATTCAAGTGCTTCTCAGTGTAACATAAATAAAAGATTAAATATTTTATTTATTTTTACAGGGTGTACTGTTGTGGCATTTCGAATTACAGACAATCATTTTTTTTTACACTGGCACGTATTTGTAGCACAACTTTTGGTACAGGTGCACCGTATAAAATCTTGTCCTGTCCCAACTGAATGTTTGGTAGCTGCAGTCTTTAGTGAGATTTGAACATCTTGATTAACATCACTTTCTTGTAGAAATTTTTGAGTACAAATGTCGAATTCAGTTCTGTAATAAACAAATATTTTATTTTGACCAAATTACATAACATATTCATGCTTTTTAGACGAAACAAAACAGCGTTTAACATTGCGCTTTTTTTCTTCGAAGATCTTTATCAGGCCTTCATTATAAGTAAATATTATACTAAAACCCTATCTGAAAAAATTCATAAAACTTGAAAACCTTTTCCAAATTTAAAAACAATAATCATCGAAATCAGTTCAGATTTGACAGTGAAATAGAGTAACATGATCATTAAAAAATAATTTCTTTTCTGAAGTAATTTGAGAAAAAAATAAATAAAATGCGTAACTAACCTGCAATAGAGTGTCTGCAATATTCCATGCTTAGTTCCAATTTTGTACAGGCCATCATTGTTTATTTCAAGAACAACGCCAATAACATTTCTTAGGTCGCCCCTTCCTCTGTCTACATCAGGAGTCGGCACAGTCACATTATCTCCCACTTTAGCTGGTGGATGCGATTTGTCAGAAGCAGATTTCATTTTTTTTGCCTGTTTCTGAAGGTTTTCAGCAGCTGTTTGTCTTGCCTTTTGGATATCATCACCAATTTTAGAAGTTTCGATATCATTACAATCACTATCATCTCCTGAATTATTGTGATCATTTGTATGTCTATGGGTTAAATCAGTTTCAATAAGTTTTTGAACGTCATCTTCATCTTGAATATCCTTTATTATTTCTGGTGGTAGTGATGTCGTTGAAAGACCAACTCTGGGTTCAACTCCAAACATAGCTTTGTAAGGCGATTGTTTTATGCCCGAATGATAGGCCCTATTTTTCATAAATTGTACATATCTCAATCCTTCTGACCATTTAGTCGAGTGATTATCTTTTAGCCAACAACTGATCATGTTCTCGACGTCTTGGTTGGCTCTCTCGACAGAGCCCTGACTTTGGCTGTGCCGTGGTTTTCCATGCACTAGCTTAAGTTCTGGCCAAAGACTCGTCATTTCACATATAATACGATTGACGAATTCTCTTCCATTGTCTGACTGCAAAATACACGGGACACCTATTGTCAAAAATATATCATTCAAATGGTAGGCTACTTCTTCAGCTCGTTTAGATTCCAAAGCACGAAGCAAAATAAACTTGGCCAAGTGGTCTTGGTAGACCATGATAAATTTAAACTTTCCATCAGGTTGAGTCTGAAAATCAATGAGATCCACTTGGCACCTACTGTTCATTTCAGAATGTAAAATTGGCTTAGAAACTAAGCCTCTTTTTTTTTGTCTTCTTTTCTTGACATGTTACACACATAGATAAATATAGGTTAATCATCTGTTTTGTGATATTAGCATATTTTAAAGATGTCTCAGCCAATAATCTGTTACGTCCGCCGTGTCCAATAGCTCTGTGAGCTGCATCAATAACATCATACAATTCCTCAGCGGGAATAAAGTATTTTATGTTCTCTACACTACGGGTGACAAGTTTTTTAACAAAACCAATGTTTAAAATTGCAAATCTGTTTAATCGCCTTTGATGAAGTGGTGTCTTAATTTGAGCTTTTTCAGCCTCTTCCACTTGTAGAAATCTCCTGTGTAGATCTAAATATTTATCTTTTGTTAAAAAATTAAAATGAGATGATTTTATATTTTCATTGTGCAAAATTTCTTTTAAAAACCGCTCTATCCATTTTAACTGATCAACTTTAACACTAGACGATGGCTCATCCATAACAACAATATGAAAAACAGCACAAAACTTTAAACTAGTACGTTCAAAAAATCAAATTAATATAGCTTCGCAAATTGCACTTAGGTACACAAGTCACAACACGATTGTGCGTGAGTTCGCATTTTTCACCAAATGCTCGCCCTCTGGTGTTTAAAAATAAAACTATTTTATCTGGGTCATTTGAATCATTTTTGTGTATTAGCAGTAAAGATGAATAGCAATAGAGAAGCCTTCTGTTGAGTTCCAAATTGAAATTTCGAAGTCATACGGGAGCCCAATATAAGTTTTCGTCTATTCCCACATGAAAAACATGATTATTCGAAAATCGGTCAGTTATATTTATTAGCTTCTCCGAATTCTGAAAGAGTGGATTAGACTTAAGAATTGGCAAAAGTTTCCCCATTGTCCAACTTTACATGAAGAAGTTATACTATCAATTTAAAGAATTTTTCCTTAAAGTTTAAAATGCCAGTAATTTTGTGGGCTGATGTTTTATAACATAAAGGTCACAAATATGTATAGAATGATCTCGCTCATTTGTTTCGATACCACATAATGACGTGTCCCGCAGGCAATAATTGTTCCCCTTCTATAAAATTTCTCGATTATCAGCTATTAGCAGCATATATCACATAGTTCATATTTAAATTTTTTTTTTAATTCTCGTTTATACGTTTTTCAAATAATCTTAAGAATGTTTCATTACCGCATTCCATTTGAGAACGCTGTAACCTGAGGAAAATCTCCTGTGTAGATCGAAAACGTTTGTGTTTGCATTAAAATCTTCTGGAATTGTACTTTTAAGGTTCAGAGATGTGCTGTTTTTATGATATATATCACTATATCGGACAGAAATATATGATTAATTTTACATTACTAGTTACCAACGACCCAGATAAAGTAGCCATTTTGTAAAAATGCAGCGTAGACAACGAAAGCTCGATAGAAAGGGACGCGAGGGGAATCCCCGCGTTAAGTGTTTATTTTATCACTTGCAACGAATAAATCAGTTTGGCCTAGGACAAACTAGTTTAGCCTAAAGTATTTAGGCCAAACTAGATTGTCCTAGGCTAAACTAGTTTATCCTGACACGCGTAGGACAAACTAGTTTGGCCTAGGATAAACTAGTTTGGCCTAAAATCGGGTTTGGCCGGTAACATATATAAATCATTAACTAAATTAATACAGCTAACAAAGTGCTGGCGAGACAGAGCAAATTAATAATTTCCTTTTATCTATTATTGTAAATACAAGAGATATCAGTTTAGGTTTAGTGATCATGTGCAGTGAGAAGATTCAGTTCATTCATAAGTATCTAATTTGAAAGGAAAATAATGTTCTTGGCATTATAACTTGAATCTCAGTTTTAGTATTATATGCTACATATAACTATTATAAGAATATTTAGTTTGAAATAAATATTGTGTTTCTATAAATCTTATATATACTTTGCTCAAATCATTTGAAATAATTAAAATTAATTATACTTTTCCATTTGACTATTAAATTCATTTACCTTTCCATCAGTCAAATTGCTTCTTCCTTGAAATTTAACTGATTTAAGTCTTGCCCTCTCTTTTCTTTCCACTCTGAGGAAAAATAAATAAATAAGAATAAATGAATTATATATATATATATATTTATTTGTTTATAAGAGTTTTAAAGTTCAGTATTACATTTTAAATTTTGTAATAAATACTTGAAAATTTAAAATTCTTTTTGTTTATCTGTATAAATAAAACTCTCTTCTCTTAATAAAAAATTTGTTTTAGATGATTTGAGATTAAACCAGATATTCTGATTCAATGTCTTTCAATGTAAAGTAAGCAAAACTCTTAAATGATGTTTAACTTAGTTTTTATTTTCTCTGTTTTCACATTTGAGAATGTTAACATTTCAAGTTCTATGAACTTCCCTACTGGGATATTGATATTACACGTTTTAAAAGAAAATATGGCAAAATTTGACCACACAGAATTACTTTCTTAAAATGAATTTGTTGTAATTTGTAAAACATTACTATTACTTGTTGCATTATCATTACCAAAATAAAAAACTGAAAGTCAAAATTGACATCATTTCTATTTTATGTATAATAAACCATCAAATAAATTTTCTTATTGATGTAATTCTTTTGATTTTGCAGAATTTTATGATTATATTTATCTTCAAAGTATCATTTTAAGTTTCTTCACTTAAACATATTTTTTCATCAGCATAATTGTTTTGATCTTATCTATTTTGTAACAGCAATAAAGTTATTTTTAAGCATTTTAACAAAAACTGACCTCTTTCATAATAATATTTGACTGGCATAGAAAAATCCTTTTCTAAATACATTTAATTGTCATCTGTTTGTAATCAGGCATCAATTGATCAGAACTACTAATTATATATTACAAAAACCTTTATATTGTTTATGTAAACAGTACATATTACATTACTTATATCTTTAGATCTCTGTTTTAAATAAACAAACTTCACTTTTTAAAGAGATCTAAAGATAGGATGAAATATATTTAGTTTTATTTCTGTAAAAATTATAAATAAATAAATAAAGTCATGCGAAAAAAGTCATGATCTAGATATTTTTCAAAAAATTATGTTAATGATGATAAAAATATTTTAAAATAAACAAATTTTTCTCTTTGAATTTAGATTTAAATACAAAAACATGAACTATTCATTTAAATAGTTAATACAAAATAAGTATTTTGATAAATAATAACACAATAATAGCATATAAAATTTTCTGATAGACTTGCATTTTAGATTCTAAAGACAGAATAAAAATTGTTCTGAAAATATTAATTGTTAAAGAAATTAACAAATTCACTTTTTAAAAACAAAGCAAAAAATATAAGTAATTTAACATTTACAGCAGAACTTACTTATTGTAATCAGAAATATTGTTATCACTCATTTAACATTATCATCCCATCAGTAATTGCATCAAAATTAACAACAATCCAAGCCATTTTCCTTTCAGTGAATGTTTACTATTCTATGTTTCCAGTCTTTTTAATTAATCTTCTTCAGGAGATATCTGAATTTTACAATTTACAAAGAGCAAAGCCTTAACTTAAGCCTATAACAGTTTGTCTTGTTCCAAAAATGGAGGAATGTTTTAATTTTAAAAGGCACATGCTTGACTGCATGTACAGTATGTTCACTACGCAAAAATGGTTGCAAATTACAGTTAATATTATCAGACTTCGCATGCTCCAAAACATATAAGTACATTTATAATCATTTATTATTGTAATCAGGATTTCACTTATATTTATCATTATTCTTCAGGTAGATAGGCATTTTAAGCTGTCATTTCATGTTGTCAAGTTTAGCATTGCTTATGTTAGCACTAGCATTAGCTTAGCACTGTTATGTTATCATCATTACCAGTCTTAACAATAGTTTAACCATTTAATGTTAAGTGTAATTCGCTTAAAATACAACAACTAAAGTTGCTGGCATTTCTTTTTTGATTATTATTTAATTATTTGAAATTGAAAGCAAATGACCAGCACTCTTGTTTTCAGTTTAGAAAACTATTAATTACAGTATTAAAGCTACAAAATTCTTAATGTTATCTGTGTTAATCTTGTTTTATTTGTCTTTCTCATCGGTTTCACATGAATATTGGAAAAATAAGTAATCCTTATTGCAGTGTATTTAAAAGTAAAAGCAAAGGAACAAACTAAGAGTATTTCATTACATCATCTTCCAAAAGATCCAAAGTTATCGAAATAGTGGATTACATGTTTTAAAATTTGAAAAGCACCAAAAAAATACTTCTGCCTACTTTTTGCATTTTTTCATATGACTGATTATACAGGGTGTGGCAGAAAGAATGTTCTGATTTGGCAGAAGCGTTGCTTTGCTCATAGTAGAGGTACAGCAGTGGGTGTAATCTCTCTTGATTTGTTTGTGCATGTTATTTTTAGTTACCATCATGGTGTGGAGTGGAGAGCATTGTGTTTTTGTTGTTGAAGAGTTTGTTACGAATGGTGAATCTGTGATGATAACAATGCAATGGGCTTTCCAAATACATTTTCAGCTTGGTCATCATGATCTGGTTCTGGCTGCACCAACAATTCATTGTTGGGTTTCAAATTTTAGACAAACAGGTTTAGCTTTAAAAAGAAAGAGTCCTGGCTGCCCTATAAATGTAACAAGACTGGAAGATGTGGCAGCTGTGAGAGCTTCCATACAGCAGTCTCCTAAGCAATCTGCATTAAACATGTCTGATCGTAGTCTCCACAGACTTTACACAGCTTAATCCACATCCCTACAAAATAATGGTCGTTTAGGAGTTGAATGATAGGGACTATCCAATCCGTAAAAGTTTGTGTCAGGATATTCTGCAGTGCATTCCCCCAACAGTGGTACTGATCTCCAGTGACGAAACCCATTTTCATTTATCAGAGATGATCAACAAACAGAACTTTAGGTACTGGTCTGACAGTAATCCTCAAGAACTCCATCAGCGACCACTCCATAGTCCAAAAGTTACGGTTTAGCGTGCCTTAGGTGATTTCAGTGTGTGGGATCCTTATTTCTTTGAAGAGGGCGGTGTTACAGTGACAGTATTGTCAGAGCACTATTGTGAATTGCTTGAGAATTTTCTCCATCCATTAGTTAACGGTTTACTCAATGATCATGATCTGGAAGATGTATGGTTTCAGCAAGATGGCGCCACATTGAATACCTCTAGAAGGTCACTTGGAATTCTCAGAAACTTGTTTCGGGGCCATTTTGTCTCTTTACGGGGTGATATTGGTTGGCACTGCATTCGTCAGATTTGGCTCCATGTGATTTTTTTCTGTGGGCTATCTCAAATCAAAAGTGTACCAACACTGACCAATAAATATGCAAGAACTCAAGGCAGCAATTACATAAGAAATCATGGCAATTCACGCTGGACATAGTCCGCAGATCAATGCAAAATTTCCGAAACTGCATCGACATTGACAATCACCATTTAACTGATGTACTCTTCAAAACCTAATGGATGACAATGGCATACTGTGTACTTATCAGGTATAAAAGATTTCTTTCTTTATCTTGCTTTGTATTTTGTTTATCGTCATTCCAAATCAGAACATTCTTTCTGCCGTACCCAGTATAATGCTAGATAAAATATGAATCTCCAAGTGAGTCATTTAAAAAAGTACTGTATAATGGTTTAATATTATTTTATTATTGTTTAATTCATAGTTTAAAGATTTATTAAATAAATGCATTGACATATTTTAAAATTTTATTGTTTTAATCTTATAATATAATCAAGACCGGGTTGATTATGATAATAATAAGAAGCACAGAGCCCAAATGGTTAGGAATTAAAAGTTGAAATTTGGAACACAGTTAGGGTATGTCACGACAATTTACACTAAGAAGGGGTTTTTCAAAATTCCTCTCCATGGGGAGAGGGAGTGAATTAAGGCTTATCCTGAAGAACTCAGCTTCTACTGTACTATTTTAGATGCACTTTCTTGTGTTTTTAACTGCGTTTTAGTAGGGTACGTCATGAGAATGCAAACTAAGAAGGAAATTTTGGAAATTCCATACCCCAGAGGGAAGAAGAGAAGAGAGTTAGTTTTAGTCAGTATAAAGTGTAAATAATACAGAAGGAAAGTAAATAGTGGCACATATAGTACACATTTTGGCAATTAATATTAATTTAATCATTTTCCCCCTTTCTGGCAACTCAAAAACAATAAATCCAAATATTTGAATTTGTTTAAAATATTTTATTCAAAATATAATGTTCAAACAATTTTTTAGATTTTAGAATTTAAAATTAATCATTTAATTCAAGTAAGGTTATCATCAAGTAAGTTAATTCTCCATTATAATGAAAAATTTTCTGATTTATTTTTTTATTTTTTAGGTTACTTAAATAAAAATTCTTTTTAAATACTAAAGATTTATTCAGTTAAAATTCAATAATGATTTTAATCATTTTTTTCTATTAGATATCTGATAAATAGAATAGTGAAAATGAAATTTCTCATAAATTTGACCCTAATCTTATAATATAATTGAGACGGGATGATGATGATGATATTAATATTAAGCACAGAGCCCAAACAGTTAGGAGTTAAAAGTTGAAATTTGGGTAGTCATGAGAATGTACACTAAGAAAGGATTTTCCAAAATTTCCCTCTGCAAGGGAGAGGGAGATGTTAAAGATTACTCTGAACTCAGATTATACTGTACTATTTTTCATATAATTTTTTGCAGGAAATTGAACATATTTTTAGACCCATCTAAAAATTCTCTAATTAGTCTCAGAAGAGAATGAACCTAATTCATGCACTCGTTGAAAACGGGTAAGATTGGCTATAATCTAATAATCTTAATCTTTGCTTTCATTACTTTTTGCCCAAGCAATGCCAAGCTCATCTGCTGGTATTAGTATAATGGTGAAGAGTTTAATAATAGAAGTTTCTTGACAAATTTTAATGACTAATTCTTTTGTACTCAAATATTATTGTTTTGATACTACTGTCTACATAACAACACTTAACAAAATTAAATAAGAATATCTATACTAATATATAAAGAGGTAATGTTTGTATGTATG